TGCCAGGGCCTTGTGGTGAAGGGAGGCAGTGCAGCGGGGTTGGGACAGTGGCGAGGGCGTGGTCGAGGCCCTCACATGTCAAGCTGTGAAGTTTCATTATTTATTTCCTTTTATTTTATTGTTTTTTAAAAATGTTTTTGTTTGACGGAGAAAGAGAGAGAGAAAGGGAAAGCAGGAAAGTAAGCTGCCAGGTCCAGGACTCTGACCACAGTCAGCCACATGGGAGTCCAGTGCCTTAACCGTCATACCACCTGCTGGCCGCTATGGAGTTTTGGCTCTTGGAGCTGCTGGGTTTTGAACAGTGTTGACTTTCCCAGAGCTCAGTCCGGCAGAGCTTAGAGCATTAACAGCAGCAGCAGGTGGACTGGGTGGAAGGGAGGTGGCCAGGCCTCAGCCCAGCCCAGGCTGGGAGGTCTTCAGTCCGGAGTTCTTGAGAGCAGTGGGGGCTGCGGTGGGGCTCACGCTGGCATCAAGGCCCTGTGGGGTCGTCTTATGCTCTGCCCCACCTCAGAGCCTTCCACCGACAGAAGGCAGGCTGAGCTCCTCATGCTTTCTTCTGCCCTGGACGCTGAAGCCGAGCTTCCCAGGAGGAAGCAGGTGAGGGCAGCTACCCTGAGGTGGGGCAGGGGGCCGAGTGTACGGGGGACTGGAGAAAGCAAGCTGGCCATAAGCTGAGGGCCGGGCAGAGCCCCACTGCTCAGTGCTGAGACCAGAAGCAACTGCTGCCCTGAGGGTGCCTAGCAGCTACTAGACGGGACAGGTCGAGTGGGGTGTAGACCCCGCCAAGCTGGGGACCGGCTGGCCCGGAAACCAGCTCTAGGGAGGCAAGCAGAGAAAAGGGACTAGCCGGGGGAGCAAAGGAAGTCTTATAAAAATAGCTGTTGACAACAAGCATCCCCCAAAAAGGAAAAAATAAAAATAAAAAACTCACCGCCAGAGCCCCTAGAACTGCAGAATCCCAAACTGGCGGCACGTTGTCAGGAAGTCGTGCTATGGGGCCGCCATCTGTAGCCCCCGAGCCTTGATCCCAGGTGCCCACGTGCCCTGGTCCTCACCTGCCAGGGCTGAGCACAGGCTGCAGGGGAGGCTCTGCAGGATGAGAGGCTGCTGTGACCGAGTGCCTGCTGGGGCTGTGTCTCATTCCTGCCCAGCACTGGGCTCGGGGTTTGGGAGCACTCGTCCAGGGTCCCCTAGCTAATGAGCAGCAGAGATGCGATTTGAGCCAAAGCCTTGCTTGTTCCCACACGAGGTATGTCCAGGCCTTTAGGGGGAAACACGCTCTCCTCCCCTTCCCTAGACCTTCAGGCCTCAGGGCTGGGGTGCAGTTGGCTTTCTTCAGGCACCCTGCCCCAAGGGAACGTTAACTGGAGAATTGTGAATCTGGTTGTTAAAGGGAGAGGGAGGAGCAAGAACTCCTTCTAGAGAACAGTTAAAATTCCAGATTTCTGGGCCAGCAGGTGGTGTGATTTGGCAAGGCACTGGGTTCCCACATGGCTAACTGTGGTTCACGTCCCAGACCCAGAGCTTGAAAATCACGTCATACATGGGTATGTGCGTGCCCAAAATCCTGAGGAAATTGGAGAAGAGGATTACAACGTGGTCATCCCTGTGAGGGGTGATTTCTCACTGTCCTTCTTTCCATCTCCGTGTTTCTAGCAAGTGCATGTGCCCTATAGCAAAGTCTTCAAAAAAAAAAAATGCATGCTCAGAATCCCGAGAGGAGAAAGGAGAAGGGATTGCAGCCTGGCCATCCTCCCCGGGGGTGGGGGGTGATTTCTCACTTTCCCCCTCTCTGTCTCTCTCTGGTGAGCACACACAGCCTATGGTGAAAATCTTTTAAAAAATAAATAAATAAATTCAGTGTCCTCGCGGCTTTCAGGAAGTAACATAAACAGAACACGCGGAAGGAAAACAGCCCTGAGCGAGCGGAGCAGACTGTTTGCCTTCGGGCCACACCCTGTTGGGTGCCTCTCTCCAAAGACTAGGCAGGCGTTCCATCTGAGCCCCAGGCCTGTCCGGTTACCAGGATGGGGAGAGGGCAGACAGCGAGCTGTCCCCCGTCCTCAGCCTGGCCCTCACTTTGAGCTGTGGTTTTCACAGTGATGGAGTTGGGCATCTTCCTTTCAATAATTTCATTTATCTTTACTTCTGTAAGAGGGAGGCGGAGAAAATGTGACGGAAGGAGAGAGGTGAGCACCCCAGCAGCTTTGCGGTCACAGTTCCACCCCAGCCTCAGCCATCCTGGGTCCAGCGTGCACAAGGAGACCTTGGGCACAACCCAGGACACCCTGTATGGCCTGGTATCGTGGCACGGTGGTCTGCCCTCCTGCCGCGCCTCTGCAGCTGGCTGTGGGACTCCTGCTCCGCCTTTAGCCCAGACCCCCAGCTCCTCCTGCTCCCTGCCTGCCTGACAAGGACTCGGACCATCGCTCATGGCCCCGCTGTCTGCTTTTGTGCTTGCAGGGGAGGGCTCTGAATCCGGTGCCGGTGGGGAAGACGCCCTCAGCAGGATCCAGAGGCTGATGGCAGAGGGGGGCATGACGGCCGTGGTGCAGCGGGAGCAGAGCACCACCATGGCCTCCATGGGCGGCTTCGGCAACAACATCATCGTCAGCCACCGCATTCACCGCAGTTCCCAGACAGGCGCTGAGCCCGGCGCCGCCCGCACCTCCTCGCCCCAGCCCTCCACTTCTCGGGGACTGCTCCCAGAACCTGGGCAACTGGCAGAGCGAGGCCTAAGCCCCCGGACAGCCTCCTGGGACCAGCCTGGGACCCCTGGGCGGGAGCCACCCCCAGCCCTGCCCTCTTCCTCCCCTGTCCCTCTCCCTATCCCTGTGCCCAGTACTGAGGGGCCAGCCCTGCACTGCGACCTGACCAATAACAACCACCTTCCTGATGGTGGTGGTGGCAGCAGGGGGGAAGCTGCCGGCCCCAGTGGGGAGCCACGGAACAGGGAGGGGAGGAGAGGCTCTGCAGGATGAGAGGCTGCTGTGACCGAGTGCCTGCTGGGGCTGTGTCTCATTCCTGCCCAGCACTGGGCTCGGGGTTTGGGAGCACTCGTCCAGGGTCCCCTAGCTAATGAGCAGCAGAGATGCGATTTGAGCCAAAGCCTTGCTTGTTCCCACACGAGGTATGTCCAGGCCTTTAGGGGGAAACACGCTCTCCTCCCCTTCCCTAGACCTTCAGGCCTCAGGGCTGGGGTGCAGTTGGCTTTCTTCAGGCACCCTGCCCCAAGGGAACGTTAACTGGAGAATTGTGAATCTGGTTGTTAAAGGGAGAGGGAGGAGCAAGAACTCCTTCTAGAGAACAGTTAAAATTCCAGATTTCTGGGCCAGCAGGTGGTGTGATTTGGCAAGGCACTGGGTTCCCACATGGCTAACTGTGGTTCACGTCCCAGACCCAGAGCTTGAAAATCACGTCATACATGGGTATGTGCGTGCCCAAAATCCTGAGGAAATTGGAGAAGAGGATTACAACGTGGTCATCCCTGTGAGGGGTGATTTCTCACTGTCCTTCTTTCCATCTCCGTGTTTCTAGCAAGTGCATGTGCCCTATAGCAAAGTCTTCAAAAAAAAAAATGCATGCTCAGAATCCCGAGAGGAGAAAGGAGAAGGGATTGCAGCCTGGCCATCCTCCCCGGGGGTGGGGGGTGATTTCTCACTTTCCCCCTCTCTGTCTCTCTCTGGTGAGCACACACAGCCTATGGTGAAAATCTTTTAAAAAATAAATAAATAAATTCAGTGTCCTCGCGGCTTTCAGGAAGTAACATAAACAGAACACGCGGAAGGAAAACAGCCCTGAGCGAGCGGAGCAGACTGTTTGCCTTCGGGCCACACCCTGTTGGGTGCCTCTCTCCAAAGACTAGGCAGGCGTTCCATCTGAGCCCCAGGCCTGTCCGGTTACCAGGATGGGGAGAGGGCAGACAGCGAGCTGTCCCCCGTCCTCAGCCTGGCCCTCACTTTGAGCTGTGGTTTTCACAGTGATGGAGTTGGGCATCTTCCTTTCAATAATTTCATTTATCTTTACTTCTGTAAGAGGGAGGCGGAGAAAATGTGACGGAAGGAGAGAGGTGAGCACCCCAGCAGCTTTGCGGTCACAGTTCCACCCCAGCCTCAGCCATCCTGGGTCCAGCGTGCACAAGGAGACCTTGGGCACAACCCAGGACACCCTGTATGGCCTGGTATCGTGGCACGGTGGTCTGCCCTCCTGCCGCGCCTCTGCAGCTGGCTGTGGGACTCCTGCTCCGCCTTTAGCCCAGACCCCCAGCTCCTCCTGCTCCCTGCCTGCCTGACAAGGACTCGGACCATCGCTCATGGCCCCGCTGTCTGCTTTTGTGCTTGCAGGGGAGGGCTCTGAATCCGGTGCCGGTGGGGAAGACGCCCTCAGCAGGATCCAGAGGCTGATGGCAGAGGGGGGCATGACGGCCGTGGTGCAGCGGGAGCAGAGCACCACCATGGCCTCCATGGGCGGCTTCGGCAACAACATCATCGTCAGCCACCGCATTCACCGCAGTTCCCAGACAGGCGCTGAGCCCGGCGCCGCCCGCACCTCCTCGCCCCAGCCCTCCACTTCTCGGGGACTGCTCCCAGAACCTGGGCAACTGGCAGAGCGAGGCCTAAGCCCCCGGACAGCCTCCTGGGACCAGCCTGGGACCCCTGGGCGGGAGCCACCCCCAGCCCTGCCCTCTTCCTCCCCTGTCCCTCTCCCTATCCCTGTGCCCAGTACTGAGGGGCCAGCCCTGCACTGCGACCTGACCAATAACAACCACCTTCCTGATGGTGGTGGTGGCAGCAGGGGGGAAGCTGCCGGCCCCAGTGGGGAGCCACGGAACAGGTAGAGACAGACGTGCACTGGTGCCTCCCCTCGGACCACTGAGCAGAAGCCGAACCTCACAGCTGACTGGGAACCGGACCTGTGGAAGTGGACGTGCTGCGGGCTGCATCGGGGACAGGAGGAGCAGGAGGGGGGTCGAGGAGAGTCGGTCACGGCGTGGGCAAGGCTCGCCTTGGGGGATGGGAGTGCTCCAGGATCTGGAGCCCAGGAGAGCCACACTGCTGGGCCCAGTGTGAATGGGGGAGCAAGGGGCATCTGCCGTGAACCCCCTCACCTGGGAACGTGGGCCGAGGGACTCAGCCCTGGCAGGGCCTGGGAGCGTGAACAGTCTTCCAGAGCTGGGCCGAGCCATCCTGGGCAGAGGCCAGCGGGGGAGCTTTGCCCTGTCCACCTGTGGGTGGACAGAGCCACCAGGAGCCCAGGAACAGGCCCCCAGAGAGCACCTCCATCTCTGAGCCTTCCAGAGCTTCAGCCTCTTCACCGTCTTACCCCACAGAACCGCCGTCAGCTTGGCCCAGGCTCCCCGATTCCTGAGGCCAGGTGCCTGCCTCACGGGGGAGCCAGCCGCAGGGCGAGGGGCCGCCTGCTCGCCTGATGCTCCAGGTTGGGTCGGGACGGTGGGCAGGTCCTCCTCCAGGAATAGGGTGCAGGCTGGCCCAGCCCTGGGGGGTGCCCACCGAGGTCCTGGGAGCAGCGCCTGCGGGTGCCAGTATTGCCTGAGCCTGGGCCAGAGCCAGCGCACAGCCGGGGAGGGGCGAGACTCCAGGTCAGAATGCGAGGTCGCGGTCTGTGATTTAAGGTGTTGCATGTGGAATCTTGACTGTACGTGTAGTTTCTAGTGGAGAAATCAAGGCTCTGATCATTTTGTTTTTAGTATGAAAATGTGATTTCCTTTCTGTTTGTAACTCATCGTAGCACCATCGTGGTGGGAGGAGGGGGGAGTCTACTGCTGAGGGAAACACCAAAGAGCTGCATCATTAAATGATGACTTGCCCCTCGCCAGGCTCTTGTGTCTCCGTGGAGGGTGGAGGGGGGGTGGGGGTGATGTGCAGTGCGGACCTGTCCTCATGGGGGAGCCCTGTTTGACCCCTGAACTGCAGCTGACCAGGTGAGGGCTGCCGTGTCTGCTCGACGCCCCACCACACCCCTCCTGCCTCTCCTGCCTCCCCCGCCACACTCCTCCTGTCCCCGGAGCCCGACCTGAGTGGGCGCAGCCTTCCCATGGCAGGTGGGAGTAGGAGTGGTGGAAGGTCACTCCTGACTGCTTCGGACCCGGGCTGCTGCTTGCATGAAGCTGAACCGGCCAACACACCAGGCCCCCTCCAGCCCTGGGAAACCTCCCTTGGCGGGGTCTGGGCACAGGGCAGGGAACTGGGTCTTGTCTGTGGCACCCCCGCAGGTGCCATGTGCTGACTGCTCAGAGCAGCTCGGTGTTGTGTTCTCTACAGTGGCCCTGAAGCCTGCCCTGGCCACGGGCCTTGGCCACCGTGCCTGCTGAAGGTGAGAGAAGGACATTCACCCCCAACTCTTGGAGAGGCCCAGCAGGAAGTCAGGGCAGCCCAGGGCTCGCTGCCAGCGACTGCTACTTGAGTGCCTTCTATACCCCACTGTGCCCCAGACACTGGGCATGCAGCGTTACAGCCTCTGTCTCAACAGAGAACCAAAAGTTAAAAGGGCAAGCGTTAGCAACGTTCCCTCTTCAGGAACTTCCATACGGTGGATCCAGTCTGGGCTGAAAGACGCACCAGCCAGTGCGTGACCTTGGCCATTCCTTTTCTGGGCTGATTTTCCTGCGTGGTAGGATACCGGGCTTACACAAGGCCACCTCCCCAAGGTACTTCCAGCGCTGTTACCTCCATCTTTCCAGTTAGGAACACAGGAGTAGCCAGGGTGGGCTTCCATTAGGTGGGATTTCAGTTGAGCCTCTCGGTGGCAGGCCAAGGGAGTCCCAGCATAAGCCCTGCCTCTGCCTCCATAGCCCCCCCTCCTGTAGGAGGAAGGACACCCTGCTCCCAGCGGGGACTGCTTGTTTGTTGAGTTATCCTGCTTAATCCTCACAAACTCGGGGGGTGGGGGTGGGTGAGCGGGTTACCCCAGACCACATAGCTGATTGGTAGGGCTAGGTCTGTACGATTCTGGAGCACACACCACAGCCAACATCATCCCTTAGGGAGGAAGGCCAGGTCCAGGTCTGGGAGTAACACCTGAGCCGGGACTAGCTCTGCTGTTTTGGAGACAGGTGTGGATGGGTCTTGTGGATGAGTTCAAATTTGGTCCTGCCGTGCCCCTGCCTCTGCCGTCTGGCCAAGGATGGACTCAGCCCTCCCTGTTGGAGGGCCAATTGGACACCTGTGTCCCCACACCAACCCCTGTCCTCAGAAGGTCCCCACCTAGAGTTGGAGCCTCCCTAGTGGTGAGGCCTTTGCTGGGCAGCTTGGTCTCACAACAGAGATGGACACCTTAGGAGAACAAAGGTCGGCAATCCCTTTGGGCTATGAAGGAACAGATGCAGGATTCACCGGGTTCATCAGAGGGAGCAGAGGCTGAACCAGGTGGTTCCCAGCCCAGCTCTCCGGGGTTCCCCCTACACCCACACTTCTCTCCTAGGAGCGCCACCCTCTCCTGGACCCCAGAACGATAAGGCAAAAGGACCTTGTTTGTGAACTGGAGCGAGGACCATGGGAAATCACTCAGCCTAGCCCAGACAGCCCACTTCAGCCCTGGAGTCCCCAGCCCAGCAGCCGCCAGGCTCTGGGAAGCACAGGGTCCGGACCTCCGCGTGCCGGTGCATGGGGACCGCTCACTGAGCCGCGGCGCTGCCTTCTCATTTGCTCCCCTTCCCTACCCAGAGGCTCAGAGCCGCTGGCCCACCAGGGATGTCTCTGGCTCCACTTCCCCTGCGACCTCCCGCCGGCCTTGGGGGAGGAGGGGGAGAAGCGGGTCTCAGGGTGCTGGGCCGAGAGGAAGAACCAGTGGCCCTAAAGTTAATCGGGTGTTTGCGCTCAGAGGGGTCGGGCGACAGACCTGGGGCTGGGGCTCAGAGGGGCTGTCTCACAGCGTGCAGACCGCAGGGCGGGTGCCTGTCGGTTGAGCCCTAGCCGGCAGGCCGGGCGGCGCTCTCCGAGGGGCCGAACCGCCCCACTTTCGG